TTAACCCCTCGTGTAATAACAATGAAAGGTCACTTAACCCCTCGTATAATAACAATAAAAGGTCACTTAACCCCTCGTGTAATAACACTAAAATGTCACTTAACCCCTCGTGTAATAACAATAAAAGATTACTTAACCCCTCGTGTAATAACAATGAAAGGTTGCTTAGCCCCTCGTGTAATAACAATAAAAGTTCACTTAACCCCTCGTGTAATAACACTAAAAGGTCAGTGAACCCCTCGTGTAATAACAATAAAAGATTACTTAACCCCTCGTGTAATAACAATGAAAGGTTGCTTAGCCCCTCGTGTAATAACAATAAAAGTTCACTTAACCCCTCGTGTAATAACAATAAAAGTTCACTTAACCCCTCGTGTAATAACAATAAAAGTTCATTTAACCCCTCGTGTAATAACAATAAAAAGTTTGATTAATAAGATGACGACTGATAGTTCGTTAAGAGTGATTTGGTGAATAAGACTCTCAGTTTGAAGGGGTCAGTTTTTATTCCACGTTAAATGATGTGGTAGAATGTCTCTCAGGTCAAATCAAGAATCAATCTAAACATGTTAGCAACAACAACAACAACAAACGTAACTCACCACGTGATCCTTGTGTTTTGAAGCAATGGGGGTACTTCTGTTCGAGGACGACCCACTTCGACTGGGAGGTCTCTCCCTCTTCAGTGACCGGTCCAGTCCGTTTTCCCTTGGGGAGGGCTGCCCATTAGATGGCGAAACGGAATCCTATATAATTAGAGCCCTACAATGTTACTAAATTTTCTGTTTTAAGAGTTCACTACTAAAATAATTTAACGCGTGACCGAAAAGAAATAAAAATTTTTTGAACTTACTTTTCATAAAAACTCCATTGCCTTTATAATCAATAGTGATTTCAATCAATCTACACAAGCCAGAGAAACTGGCGTCCTTAGCCGATCAGAAGACACATATATTCTCCAACTAATCACCTTATTTTTCTCTTTAGATCGTATATCGTTTATGTACTTAAAAAGTAAAAAATTAAGTACTGGAGAAGTAAAATAAAATAAATAAAAAGTACTTGTAACAATAATAAAGTGAAATAAATGTTTACAATGATGTAAAAATACAGGTATAAGATTAAGGTTAATTCTTACGTCATTTGTTGTTGTTGTTTTTACCATATAAGCAGTAAGTTGTACTTGCTATTGTTTCTAAACTCAGATTAAAATACGCCTTATAAAAGTTAAAGAATCTTATTCGAATATCATGTTCAATAATCCTAACCTCATTGGCAACATCGACAACAAGGTCTTGGTCGCTTTTGTCGTCATCACTGGCCTGAAAATTAAGAAGAAAAACAAAATAAAAACTCATTCTGAAAAGATACTGACACGTGCCAAATTTGATTGGTTCATTTACACCATATACTTGTAAAACGTATCACTACGCCCTAAGACTCAAGAACTTGTCACTGGTAGTGTGTTTGAAGAAACTCACATTCACAGAGAGAGAGAGAGATGAATAATGTATTATGTCAACATATTAACAAACTGGTAACAATGTGACAAGAACTAATCAATAATATTAAGTCTACAGTCACACACACACAGAAATAAATAATGTATTATGTCAACATATTAACAAACTGGTAACAATGTGACAAGAACTAATCAATAATATTAAGTCTACAGTCACACACAGAGAGAAATGAATAATGTATTATGTCAACATTTTAACAAACTGGTAACAATGTGACAAGAACTAATCAATAATATTAAATGTACAGTCACACACACAGAGAAATGAATAATGTATTATGTCAACATTTTAACAAACTGGTAACAATGTGACAAGAACTAATCAATAATATTAAATCTACAGTCACACACACACACAGAGAAATGAATAAATGTATTATGTCAACATATTAACAAACTGGTAACAATGTGACAAGAACTAATCAATAATATTAAATCTACAAATCCAAAGAAACATGAAACAGCGTTGTTAGCAAATAAAATAAGCGTTTTTTTTTCGTTTTTTTTGTTCAGTGATTGTAGTTATTTGTAAGTAATCGAAAACGTATTTAGACTATATCAGTTACATCAATGATATAATAACCAGTTCGCAACAACAATAATAAAACAAGTTTCTGTAATGACACAATAAAACTTTAAAAAAAATTGTATCATGGGTAATAAAAATCACATTTGACTCCTTTTTTTAAAAAATAAGCCTCTATATTTATCCAATACGAAATTCAAATTGAAGGTTTGTAAAAATAACTTTCCAGATCTATATTTTGTCTCCAACAAATCACTGCTCAAGAGGCCTTTCTTTCAATACTAGTACTCGTCTGATTGACTGTACTGTGACAGCTAAAATTTTATTTAAAACATTATATATGCATTTCAAGAAGTTTGAAGTAAAGGCTCGAACGCTGACCAAACATTGGAATCCAATATGTATTAAAACTACGATAAAAATCACTTAAGGTTGCAATTTTTTTTCCCGCTTACTCTTAACATGTCCATTATGGATTTCAAGTCAGAAGAATTATGAAATATGCTTACTGAACTTTATTCACGAAGGTCTCTTGTTGAAGTCCCTATCGTTGCCATAAAAGTTACATAATTTTTAAACTACACTCGCGCTCGTACTAGTTTTTATATACGTTGTGTTTATTACAGGTGTCACTGATCAGCTCATGTTTTTTTGAATATGTATACAAGGTTGTGTTTATAGAAAACAGACTGACTAGACTTTTATAATTTTAAAATCATTCTCACACGAAAAGCAAGTACAGTATTTCAAGTTGTTATTAAATAGGGCATTCTGTACGAATGGATTACTGGACTCTCGAATTACCTGTGTGTAGTTCAGTCGTTCTAGATTTCATTTGTAAACTCAATTCCAGTGAAATTTTGAGTTTAAAACTGACTGAGAATAAGTTCTTTTTTTGGGGGGCTGATTTTGAAATTTCTTAATCTATATCCATAAAACATCTCATTCTAATCTTGGTACATAAACTCAATTCTGGGATTAATTCAACGAGAATGAGTTGTATTGTCGTTGAAAATACCCACACAGGATATCAGTAAATTCAGTTTAGACGTGAAACTGTTGTAATATACTGTAAGACGTTTTCACTGAAATTCTTGGTTAGAGCGAGCTTCTGATTCCAATCGAGCTTGTTTAATCCCTTAAAGCTACAGAAGCCTGTTTGGTGTATGGAGCTAATATCTACAGTGAACAGAAGATATTTCGACTCCAAAGGATCTTATATCAACATAAAACACGAGCACGGGCAGGAAACAAGGTTCGGCTTATCTAGTGAAAACAATTTCGGACTTGTGAATGTCACTATAGGATCACACATTATTATTTTATAAATGATGCTGTTTTCTGGTACATTACATGAAAGTAGGCTGTTATAATCGTTTTGATCTTCGTAAGCTGTAACTCGAAAATTGTTTATAGATTTCCTTTCTCAACCTGTACATATTTGAAATATTTCCGTGTTCTACCTTTTCAAATACTTACGTAGTCCACCTTTTTAAATATTTAAGTGGTCCACCTTTTAAAATACTTACGCAGTCCACCTTTTTAAATATTTAAGTGGTCCACCTTTTCAAGTATTTAGGTAATCCATTTTTCAAATGGTTACGTGGTCCACCTTTTTAAATACTTACGTGGTCCACTTTTTCAAATACTTACGTAGTCCATCTTTTTAAATGCTTACGTGTTACACCTTTGTCAAATACTTACGTATTCCATTTTTTTTAAATGCTTGCGTGGTTCACCTTTTTAAATACTTACGTGGTTCACCTTTTTTAAATACATACATGTTCCACCTTTTCAATTACTTATGTAGTCCATATTTTTAAATACTTACGTGGTCCACTTTTTCAAATACTTACGTAGTCCATCTTTTTAAATGCTTACGTGTTCCACCTTTTCAAATACTTACGTAGTCCATTTTTTTTAAATGCTTGCGTGGTTCACCTTTTTAAATACTTACGTGGTCCACCTTTTCTTCTCGCCTACGTTTTTTTTCCATACTTATTTCGGGAGATCGACTTCGCTGTTTGTCTCTCTCGTGAGGCGATGACGAGTTCCTCTAAACAACGGAATAATTGAAAGTAAGTACTATGTAAAATATTTAGTTCAGGCATTGAAAAAAAACATCATTTTGACATCTTACTTATGTGAGTTACGTTTTTTTCTGTGGAGAAAGCATAGCTTGAGTTTTCTTAAATTTAAATGTACAGCACGAACCAAATTAATGCTTAATGAAATCACTGATATGATATACCCTACACGTAGAACTTGTGGAATTATAGATCAAAATATAGTTAATGCGCTTGGAACTGAGTTTATCAGTTGACTGTATCGATTAACCATCAAAACATAAAACGATAAATATACTGTGTGCTAAAGCAATATCAGGTTGGAATATCCCGTATTTTTTTATATCGCACAAACAAGAATCGCGTGTTGTTGTGTATCTATATGAGAGGTATTCTTAACTGATGATATGTGCTATTAATACATGGTGGACTATACTTATGTAACTGACTTATGCTTTTGATATTTTGTTTGTTTGTTGTTAATCACAAAGCTACACGATGGACTGTCTGTGCTGTGCCTACTACAAGTACCGAAACCCGGTTTTAGCGTTATAAGCCTTCAGGCTTATCCCTGTCCCACTAGGGGGCTGCTGTTGATGTAAGACGAAGTCAATATTTGACATATTAATTACATATAAGGTGCAGTAAAAGTTATCCAATATTTGTGAAGACTGAGAACAAATTGTAGATTTTTGATATGTTAGAGTTGAAACACCTATTTTTAAGTAATATTATATGTAATGTTAGAGTTGAAACACCTATTTTTAAGTAATATTACGTATAATGTTAGAGTTGAAACACCTATTCTTAAGTAATATTATGTGTAATGTTAGAGTTGAAACACCCACTTTTAAGTAATATTATGTGTAATGTTAGAGTTGAAACACCTATTTTAACTAATATTATATGTAATGTTAGAGTTGAAACACCTATTCTTAAGTAATATTATATGTAATGTTAGAGTTGAAACACCTATTTTTAAGTAATATTATATGTAATGTTAAAGTTGAAACACCTATTCTTAAGTAATATTATCTGTAATGTTAGAGTTGAAAAACCTACTTTTAAGTAATATTATATGTAATGTTAGAGTTGAAACACCTACTTTTAAGTAATATTATAAATGTTGTTCATGTTGGTGCAAGAAAGCTTGAAACTATCAGAAAAATAAACGATCCAGAGATAGTGGCTGTGCTGACTCTATATGAAACAACCTTAGTTGCTGAAATTGATCGTTCTTTCAATTGTCCCTTGAGCTAGTCACAACACGAAGCCGAGATCACGACTCAAAACTCTCACTCACTCACTCGTAGCTCAAGCATTTGATTTCAGTGTAAAGCTTTGTGTCAACATATTTCGGCCACGACCACCAGCATTCAACAATAAAAAAAACATCTTCAGAAGAGAAATTGCAGTAGTTATACCAGTCTTGCTTTCCTGAACACGCTGGAGTTAAAAACGGCCATACACCACGACAACAAAGCAGATAAGGCTTTGTAGAGAAAGTCGTCTGTTTTTTAAGGTGCAACTTAAATACTTCAAGATTGATAAAATAGTTCTCTCTTCTCTTTAAAAAATACCGAATTTATCGATTAAGGCAACAGTAATACAGAATTTATCGATTAGGGCAACAGTAATTTCTTTCAATTTGAAAGCAGCCCTAAAAAAATGTAAGCGAAAAAAGGACATCTCGATCTTAAGTCAATAATGTTGACAGATCGTTCGAATCACTTGTCAGTCCCATCTGAGTGTACTTGTTCTTCAACATATGAACTTCATATATATATATATATATATGTAATAAATAATCGGTGTTAGAATTAAAATAAGTAACAAGAAATTTTGCGTTATTAATTCTTATCCTAGATATTTCATTTGTAAGTGAATTAAATAAAACTGATAATAACTACAATTAACTTGCTTACTCTGTATTAAACCATAACAGTCGGCATTCAAGAAAACTTATTGTATATTTACCGCCTCGAACGCTGTTATGTCTGACAAATCGCAGCCGGCTTGATGAACTCTGGTATTGAACGAAAGGCCTCATCGGCATAGGATATGATATTATCCTTTGCTTTCACTTATGGGATCTTAGTATTTTTAAACAATAATATCTCTTGTATAAAAAATTAGATTTATTGTGTTACTGTTTGTCCTTGGGTCCTGTTGTCAACCAATTATGTTGTCCATCCAAACCCTGATGGTCCAATACTATGTATTTTTCCATTGTTCTCTATTCCTTGCTATCTGGACCAGATGTTCTAATTCAACTTCTCACCTCCAATACATTTGTTAATGTCATCTAACCAAATGAGTCACTCTTCTTCCTTCGATATCATCCACTGGAATCTCTGCTAACCTTCCCTCAGATTTAATTATATAATGAATCTTCCATTTCCCACATATGTCCATCAGTTGACTTTTTGGTATTTTCACATTTCAAGGCTTCCTTGTTAGTTTTCCTTTCTGTTGGACGTTCTTCGTCTCTCGACTGTAACCTATTATCACAAATTCTATTTCTATTAACCGCGATCACTTCTGCATCATCATGACCTTAGCCATTCAAGTTATATAATGTTCGTGAAAACACACATCGATTAACTTTAACCAAATACTTAGGTCCTGGTCAAATCGAACTGATGATTCATGATTCCAGTTCATATTCTTCAGGATTTTGATATCTGTTTCATCTAGCCAAATCTTCTACGGGATTTCCATTAATTTGTAACAGTTAACCGTCAAAACCTTTTCCAAAACTTCTTTTTTTCCAAAAGTTCTTTTTGCACTTCTTTGAATTTGTCACTTACATCCCCTCGCCGAATATGCTCTCTCACGTGTTCCCCCCTCTTCTGACAGATCATTTTCAGTCTTATCTTTAATTCTATGGAGGATTATGTTTAGTAAAAACCCTGAGATGTGACTAATCCAGCTGATAGTCCTGTATTGGCCACACTCTATAAATTTGGGTTTCTTGGAGCTTGGCACAGACATTTTTAATCGTGTTGATATTGTCCCTCCTTTTCAAATCAGGTTTCATACTGCAATCTCATATTTGATACCTTAAATGTCATTTCCTTTAAACGTTATACAAGAATATCATATGTGCCGCAAGCTTTTTCATTTTTTAAAATTTCTAATGATTTCTTGGGTCGTTATTAACTGGTTTCTATTACTCCTAGGCTGGCTTCTATTTCCTGATATCGTTACTCAGTTTTCTTTCATTCTAAGCCCATTCTGCTCTATTTGTTGGACATAATTTAGACACATGACGTGCTTCCCAGGTGTTACAGTCTTGTAGAACAAAACGCTATAGCCTGTTTTACGTTATCTATAGGCCTAGTCATTGTAAAGTGTCAAACTGTATATATACAACTTCCATTATGGTACTACACTAACACAGTTGTTGCATAATATATACACATCATCCATTGGTCTAGAGTAAGTGTTTCGAAGTGTTTATAGTAAAGTAACAACTTTCCTGAAGTCGACTGCAAAACGTTGAGAGTATTTTCAACAAAGGGCAACTTTCCTTAGTTTACTGCAGAAGTTTAACGTAGTTAACAGCATTGTATTGTATAAGTTTAACGTAGTTAACAGCATTGTATTGTAGAAGTTTAACGTAGTTAACAGCATTGTATTGTATAAGTTTAACGTAGTTAACAGCATTGTATTGTAGAAGTTGAACGTAGTTAACAGCATTGTATTGTAGAAGTTGAAGTGAATAGTTTCCTCAACTGCAAATCATGTTCAACTTCTAACGAAAGTTCTTCTTTTTTGTTTCTCAACTTCTACAATACAATGCTGTTAACTACGTTGATATATTATAGAGGTTGAAAAAGATTTGCAGTTGAAGAAACTATTCACTTGATATATTATAGAGGTTGAAAAAGATTTGCAGTTGAAGAAACTATTCACTTGATATATTATAGAGGTTGAAAAAGATTTGCAGTTGAAGAAACTATTCACTTGATATATTATAGAGGTT